CTTGGATGTCACAAAGCCTTTTATATCCACATTGCAGAACTGAGAGAGTGAAACTTTAAGTGACTTGTTGAAAGCCATGCAGCAATTTTGTGTCAAATGTAGATGAAGCTGGAGTTGAAAACTCCAGGCCAGTGCTCTGGCCATTCTCTCGCTTCTATTTTGCAAAATAACATCTGGTTACCTCTGTACAAAACTCATACAGATGTCAGCATGGATCTTTTTGGAATACACAGTATATTTTCTGTTACCCCAACCCCAAATGCTTGCATTATCTGAGGCAGGGAGTTGGTGTGTGCTCTTGCTATTAGTGATGTTCATAGTGCACACAGCTAGGAAAGAAGTCCAGTTGTGAAACAAGTCTTAACTGCCTGGACTTTAAGGGCTTCTATTACACAGTTTTTGCAAACCCAACTTTTGATTTAGTACAAATTCTCATGCTTTTAAAAGAAATATTTTTAAGAAACATACTGCATTTCATCAGGTGTAACCACCTAGTAAATCAGCTAGAATATGTGATCTGCAGAATATATGCAGTCCAGGAAACACATTGCTTCTGTGTCATTTAGTGTGCATCTCTCTGGGAGCCCTTCTGTACAAGCAGGTGTAAACAGACTTGAGCTTATCCCACGGGACCAGGGCCGGGAGCTCCAGCCCAGTGGTCATGTAGCTTTGCTAGTGCAATGCATAGACCAGACCAGGAGACCTTCCCGAGGGGCCTGTGCTGGGAGGAGAGCATGGGGCTGGGGCCAGTGCCACACTGCTGGGCTGGCACAGCCTTAAACTTGGCTTGTTTGTGGAGTGGGACGTTTCAGGTCATGCTTGGCAGTAGTCAGTTAGATTAGCTTTGTATTTTTTAACACTGGATTCCTGTGGAAGTATTCACAGATAGCTCCAAAAGTCCCAGCTGTACTACCTTGTGTTGGACCTTGCTCTGACTCTGAGATCTGAAGAAGTTCCCATTCAGTTCTTATACATCTGAAAATACTTAGGTTAAGTGTTCAACATCACTTAATATGTATGAGATGTGCTTTTAGCTCTTGTAACTAAAACTAACGAAATGTGATTTTGATGGGTCAGGAAGATCACCTCTGTGATTTTGGGGCCATTACTTCAGTGCTGCTTAGGGCTGCAACCAGTCCCATTGCCAAGGGCCAGCCATGTCCAATGCAGGCAGTTGCAAAATCACTGGTTTTTTTACATGCTGAAGACACGGTCTATCTGGGGAAAAACTGCACATTTATTATCAGAAACTCTGTTTAATTTTAGAAGTCATTTAGTTCATTCATCTCTTTTGTGACTAGAATATATGCCATGAAAAGTAATCACTTTAATTAATAATAGATTATGGTCTTTAATGTTCTAAGGAATATCTCTATTATGTATATTTCTAGATGAAATTCAGATATGGGGGGTTTTTTAATGTACGTTTGTTGTTGTTTCAGTAAGCATTTTTTTTCCTTACTAAAAATTCCTGGCAGTTTGTACAACCTGATAATGTAATCATGATGCTGCGAGGCTGATTCTTCCATAGCACCTCCTACTTACAGTCTCCTGAAAAAGCTTGTGCAAAATAGAGGCTGTGAAATTCATGCTTCAGAATCACACAGTAAGTTTTCTTACTATGTTAAAAAACGTTGTGTGTAGTAAATCTTGTAGCACACTTAACTTTTCATATGCTTACGTTTCAACAGAGTAAGCACTTTCCTTTCTTGGGCATCAGTGATAATTCAGCCCAGTGACCTCAGGTGCTGGGCAGTGTTCTATGCTACTCTCACTCATCTTCTCATGGTAGATTTAGGTAAGATCCTTCTCCCATGTCCCTGAGACACCTTCCTGTCTTGCGTGGTACCATGAATTTTTAAGGTTATTAAACCAATGTAACAGCAGCTTAATTGTACAGTAAATATGTTGGTGTTTAAAGCACTGCCTAACTACTTTTGAGGTTTATGACATTAAGCATGAACACTGTAATTGTTGCCTTCTGTTGAAGAAATAAGGAAGATGAGTTTTTTGCACAGAAGTACTTTTTGTATTAACTACAATAATTTACAGTACTAAATGCCTGAGTGTTTTGCATTTCCAGGTGACATACCAATTATGCCAGAACCTTCCAGCTTCTAGTAAAAGTTGATTGAGTTTTTTTTATTTCATAGAATCCTTGAATGGTTTGGGTTGGAAGAGACTTTAAAGATCATCTAGTTCCAGCCCCCTGCCACTGGCAGGGCACCTTCCACTAGACCAGGTAGCTCCAAGCCCCATCCAACTTGGCAAGTCCCTATGCAAGGACTTAACAAGGCAACGTGTACAGAGATGATCAACAGTCACATAAGGCAACAGTAGTTGTTCCTCCCCCTGCTGATAATGGGTGCTTGCACTGTCTAGTGCTGAAAACAGTACCTTTGAGGCAAGACCAAACCACGTTTATCAGTGTTTTCTTAAAGAATGGCAGTTGTAAGCTGGACCTGCATTTACTTGCAGTTTAGCTGCTTTCAGTACTGTCTCAATGTTCTGTAATGTAAGCAGTAGGTACATTTTCTAAAATAAAATGGGTTACACATGCAGTTTTGGTAACTTTTCCTACAGGGTTGGGAAAAAAAAAAAGGATTTGGTAAAAACAAGATTACAGGTGTTAAAAATTACATCCCAAAGTAGAGGTCATGTAAGTATATGTTAGCCAAAATGCAGGCGCGTGCCTTATGACTGGCTACAAGCTGATAGAGGTCACTGTGATTCCTCTGGATTAACAGCTCCGAGATCTGAAATGATGAGGAGTATCTGAAAAAAGCATTCTTCAGTCTGTGGCTGTTGTCCTTTGGGTTCCTAGTGGAATAAATTTGGTGTTGAACTGATGAAGAAGTACACCTAGAGACACAAACAGCTCTAAGTTCTGTCTTAGGATCCAAATTTTAAAAGTTAGGTGTACACAAACTGTCCTGCCTGTATTTATGCAAGCTGTAATCTAACCTTGTAAATGAAGAGACATTTTCAGACTGTGAAATCTGGCAATTTTAGATAAAAAGAGCATTGTACCAGTTGTCTTCTCTGGGATTTTTCTGGATGGTTGAAGTTTTTTTCCAAATTAAGTGAAGAGCTTTATATAAAATCCTTTTATGTGAATGATAAACAATTCACATTGAAACAAAATCAAGATGGCTTTTTATTGGTGAAGGTTGTTTTAAGTAATTGTTTGATGTAGAAATATTTTTGGAGATTAGTTGAATTCAGAGTATTGACATTTTAAACAATGTGCTGTTGGAGGGACTGTCAAAATTAATTTGTAGTAGGAAAGAACAAAGATATATTAATTGGTATTTGCTTCAAAATGCACTTTCTGTTGAATTACTTTAAATTCATGTGAATGTAATTAGACTTTAAATTCCTTATGTGGCCCAGGTTGTGCTTTTAATAATTTTTTTGGCATTTAGAATTGCATCACTTTGTCCAAGATTCTTAGTCCAAGATTTGTAAAGTAAACTCAATATTCTTTTGTTGAAGTATATAGTGACCAAAATTAATACAATACCACCAGTAAAGGTATGTTTAAATGAAGATTTTTGCTTGGATTAATAATTTTTAAGCATTTTTTCTTCTCAGTACCATACGGACTAGATCTAAGGTGTAGAAATACCTTCAGGAGCTATTCAGCATGATTTGTCAGTGTCCTGTAATTACAGGTATGTGCAATCATGCTCAGTGCCAAAACTCTCCAAGTGAAGCAGGTTTGAAACGCTATTGCTGTAAGCCACGTGCAGATCTACTATATATAATTCAGAAGTGAGACATCTTTTTTTCTTTCAAAGGACATAATAAGGATGTGTATGCATCGTTTTAATTGTAGAAAATGAGGAGTTTACCATGGTAGATTTCTTTAGGGTAGTTTCTTCTTTTCCTTATTAATACCGTACTGTTCATGGTATGTGAATGCAGATTGTACAGGAATGCAAAAGAAATGCATAGGTAGTAATTTGTGTTGCTTTTCTAAAACTTAAAAAATATTTTATTAATAGGGCAATACTATATAGAATCTTAATTGTATCTTTCTTCGCTGCCTACACAGAAATAACACACAAGATTTTCCTTTACCCATATCCAGAACTAGCTGGTTTGTCATTCAAGTGTTGATCCCAATCAGCATTGGACATTCTGGTAGTTCTTTGGTCTTCTCAACTTTTTAACAAAGTATGCTTGAGATTCTACCTTCAGGAATTCTTGAATTTGAATGTGTATATAGTATCTTTGTGGAGATAGTCTTCTAATGATATGCAGCACTCAACATGCTGTATTACTTTTGCTATCTTGTGGTAATTCAGGTTTTGTCTTCTCTATCAATGGCAACTGAGCCCTGCTGCTGCACAGAGCACTATCCAGATGACTTCTGTTACTCTGTATGCTGCCAAGGTACAATACCATCATGGGACTCTTTCTGCATGAATGGTCTTTGTTTATTAATTATTTTAATATTATGTTTTCCTCCAAGGAAGATCTGATAAGTACTTGAAAGGAGAAAAACATCAGGATATGTGATACCTATAGAAATAGTTTAGCTTCTAGAAGCACAGGAGGAGGCTGATGCTGGTTGAGCAAGGAGATTGGATGCACAGAAAACTAATACTGTACTGGAGCTGTCTGAGGAGCTGGAGTTGGCAAAGAGAGGAGGGAGAAACAAAAAGCCAGATGAATAGTCTGGGGTTACTGTGAGTAATCAGAAGAGAACACAAAGGTCCAGGAGAGACAAATAAAAAGACTGAGTGGTTGAAGGGAGCAGAGAGGAGGTGGCAGAGGAGACAGGCAGAGGTGGACAGGATTGGATTTTCCCAAAGTGACCAGATCCTTTTGCTGCCAGCAGTACCTTTGAAACCTAGCACAAAGCATCTCATCCTCTTTGGTTCTGCTACAGGTGCAGGAGGCAGGTCTCAAGTTTGGTTGGTTACTTTGCTAGGTTAAGAAAATTTTTGAGTATATGTTGCAATTTAAACGCTCCGTAACTGGCTGACCAATGCAGCAGCGGGAAGTGATTGAAAACTATTTCCTTTTGCTTTCTAAAAAAATTCTGGCAAACAGGCCACAAAAGCCCTCTATTAAGAGGAAGCAGTTCAGGCGACAAAGCCAAGTATTGAGAGCTGAGGAAATGCCAGAATTGGGATTGCTTCTGTAACTTTCCTCTCCTTTTAAGTATTTACATTGTTATGAGGCAGTTTTAATTGCAGGATCACAGTTATTTCTCTCAGGATATTTGCCTCTTTCAGTTCAGATGTGACATCTCAGCTTAATGAGAAGCTGCTGTGTATTTTGATTTTCATTTTTTTTCTGTATTGTCGTTTGGATTTATGTGTTTGTCCATGTTTTGTTTCCTGTTGTGACTGTTTTTACTTCCTGGCCTTTTTTCTTCTTGGCCTTCTCTGTTGTTCTTACGACATCAGTACGACGTTCTGTCTGTACTGGGGTGAGTGATTTGCTCTTTGCAGGATCTCTAGAAGAGGTTGGAATTAGGCTCATTTTACAGGTGGGTATATAAAGTGTAGAAGCTAAACTGTAAAGCTTGTGCTAACTTTGCACAACCAATTTGACACACACAAGACTCTTTCTAACTTCAATTGCAACTTAGTTTGCCAGACTTTGCCTATGAAGAGAGAAGGGAGAGAAGCCCTATAGCAAAGAGCTCTTTAAAGAACATAAATTAAATTCCTACTCTGAATTACTCCCAAGGGGAATCTGCATGTGAGAGGCAAGCTACCCTCATTAAGGGCCTAAAGATAAGTAGCATGAGTACCAATCCTCATGCAAATTGCCATTTCTAAAATGTTGTTGTTTATAGTTACTTGTTCGGCATCAGGACAAAACAAATACAACCCAGACTTCCAGTTTGTCATTCAACTGTCAAACCAAGACAATTGCTATTTCCCTACCCACAACATCTTGTTTCTTTTACTCTGAATTCACACCTTCTGAAACAAATGAGTCAATAGTGTCACATGAATAACCCCAGCACAGTCCGGATTTATTTCCACAGCAACTTTATTCTGTATACTGAGGTAGGAGTTAGGAAAAAATAGCATACGATCATAAAAGATGATGATTTAAATATCATACTACAAAATACACATGTGAAAGGGTCTGATTTATTATTGCAGTTTAAAACTTAACATTTTTTAACTGTTGTCTTGACTGTATGTGACTGTTCTTCTAGGGTATGGAACAAATGCTGTCAGATTAACAGAGAGAACAGACATGAAAAGGAGAAAGATGTGAAATACAGAGATGTGCCAGTCTCACAAGTTGTTTACAATTAATTTGTCTTCTTTGTTTATAGCTCAGTAAAAATAGGTCAAACCTCAGGTTTTTGTTCCTGTAGGTCATATGAAAGAAAGTTCCCATGATGTCAGTGAGATTTTGCTATAAAAGCCTAAGAGGCTGACCCTTCCGAAGAACAGTGTGACTATGCTTCTGCTGTTCTGTTTTGGTTTCTTTTCCTGCAGGTGAAAATGAGGATGAGTTTGAGAATTTCATGCTTCCTCTCACAGTTTCATTTGAAAGTGCAACTCAGATCTTCAACAGTAGTTTTGTACAAGAAGCAGCAAAGGTGGGTTTATTTCAATTATAGAGAAAGACATTATTGATAGGAGAAACTAAGAGTGGAACAAGCATTTAGCGACAAGCTTGTCATCTCTTCTGTCTGTCCCTCCTGGCATGTGTATATCTGTATACTTGTATATATATTTATACTTGTATACATATATACATATTTAGGAATGTAGACAGAGATACAAAAGTTACTAATTACTATCCTAAACAAACTGTCTACAAAGATTTTATAAAGGCCTTGGCATTTTTTGGTGCTTTGACCCTATTTATAATCAAAAGGACAACTCTCTCTTCAGTGATAGCTTATCTGTTTCGTATGTAATATTGCCTTTTGCCATGCAAATATCCTGTTTGTGTATATTAATGTATTTATTTGGGGCTATGAGGAGACATGTTGTAACACAATTGATAAACACAGCTGCTTTAAAGTATTCTTTTCAAACAAGAATTTATTATATAAATCAAGACTTTATTAAATGGCTGGGCATATATGTATAAATAGGAACTGGTCTTGAAGTATTGCACCCTTAAACTGAACAAAGTGATTAGGATAACTGATAGCTAAATAAGGTTTTTATGTGCCTGTGGGAGCCATATTAGGATTGATTTGACAAGTCAGTTCAGCTGTGGCAACAGTCATAATATCTAACACAACATTATGTTTTATTAGTAAAATCCTTAAGTGTAGCAAGCTGTTTGTGTCAAAACAGTATATTTTAGGGAAGAAAAAGACTTGCTAGGTAGAAGCTGCATCATCAGGAATGATAATATATTGGAGCACTATTGCATTAAAGAGATTCCCTTCTCCTGTCACAGAATAAATAGTTAACAGTGTGCACTGGAGTGCTCACTTCAGCTACACAGGGTCATTTTGAAGAAACCCTAAGAGTAGTTTTTAATTAGCTGTTTTGAAATATGATGGAAACTTAAATACTACATCAGCATATTTATCCACTTTTTTGTAAGAAAATAAACAGATATGGTAGAAATATTTAGTAACTAATTTGTCTGCAGTACATGGCTGACATGACCAGAAGATGCTCAGCTCACAGTAATTGTTTGAATTAAGCGAATATTGTTTTTAAAATACTAGTTAAGGTTATTTCAACAATTAATTCTACTTTCCTCATTTGTTGTTGCTGTATGTATTTAATTTGAATAACTTTTCATTTATTAAATAGGCACAGTTTATGTGTCTTGGATTCATCTCTTACATTTTCAAGTTAAAACCCTAAAAATTAGGACAAAGAGGTCACTTCATAGCATTACCCTTTCTGTAGGAAACTGGCTTTATTTCACATGAAGATTCAGTTTATTAAAGTATTTGTCCTGTCTGCTTTGCTTGAAACTATCTTAGTAGAGAAATTTTAATGGAGTGCTAGCGATATATTCCTAAACTAGCAAGTTCTTAACGACCCTGGAAAGTGACTGCTTGATTACACTTTAACGGTATTTGCAAATAAAATCACAAGTAATTAAGGGGAAATCTCCAGGCTTTTGAGCAAGTTTGATGCATGATAACTGCCTGATTCAGCTTCATCTAGAGTAATGCTGTGTAGACAAGAGCTACTGAGATCAATAGCAACATAATGATAGTGGCAGAATTAAGTGAGTAACCTGAGAACTGTGTCTTCAAAATGCATGCAGCTGCCACAAGCCAGGGCCACACAGTGCACTCCGTGCTTCCGTCCTAAATGTTCATCAAAAGACGCCCTGCAGGAAAATGGAGTTAGATGCTCTTTATTGCTGATCGTGTCTCTTGCCACATTTATCAGGGAAATTGGATTAGCAGTTGGCAGCTGCAGGTAGACAAGGTTCTGCAGTGATTAAATATGCAGCTTGGCTGCATTTGTTGTGACAGACCTTTAGTAAATTCTACTGTAAGCACCATCTGTCTAATTTGTATAAAGAAAACTTAGTGCTTTAAGCTACTGATAAAGAACTAAATCTGTTGCTTTATCATAAACAAAACTTTTGCTCTAAATTCTCTTAAATGTAATTTATTAGGTTAAAGCTATTTTTTCTATCATAATGAATAAATAATACATGCAAAAGCACTTTCAGGTACTTCATTTTGCAAGTACTGAAAACAAAAACAGTTCAGTTCCTCAATAAAATGCTCAGTATTCTGATCCACAGGGAGATGACACTGTTAAAATATCACTATGAAAATGGTCCAGGACTGCCAAATTCATTTAATTTGTGGTTTTTACTAGGACTTTCTAACTGGCTAGGGTTTGGGGTTTTTTTTTTTAGTTTTTTAATAGTTCTGAAATACACCACTGAAAAACAGCTGCAACAAGGGAGCTCTTTCTTTTAAAAATACATTTGTAATCATTACATCTGCATACAAAACATATGTTTAGGTTGCTTTTCCAGGGAGATCAAATATAATTGAAGATGGCTTAAGTAGTTATGTGTCTTTTTTTTTTTTATACTTCCTTCTTCACATTTTTATATTAATAGGAAAAATGTCCAGTGTTAAAACAGCACCTGATTTTCTCCTCAGGATTTCCAGGTTTCTTCTGCCAATCCAGTTAAGTAATATATCTACTGGGTAGCTGGAATCTCAGTAGTACTTTGTTTATAATTGTGACATCATCAGATTTGCTAGAAATGCATGGAAAAAAAGGATGTGTGGAAAAAGCAGTTAAATAGCAACATGCTATCTTTAGCTGGTTTGTAGAAACTCCATGCTGTTAAATTATTTAAAATCCTTGATTTTCAGCTTGCACACATTAAAAGTTTTCACACTAAGTGCCAAATGTTGCAAACAGCACTTTAACAGAATGATTTTGCTTTGATCCCTGTAGCAGTTCCTGAATAATTTATCACAGGTTATTGCCTTAATTCTGGAGAGGGATAGAGCAATAAAGGCAGATGAAAACACTCCAGTTGAAACACCTTGGGGCCTGCTCATTCCTCTGACACGGCTCTTTTGTTGGAACTATTTAGAGGTTATTAAGATGTGTCTCCAGAATTAAGAGTATGCTGTAAGGATGAAGACAGCCATCTTAATTCTAAAGACAAAGCGCAATGACCCTTCACCTTTTTTTTCCTTTGTTGTTATTATATAGTAGAATTATGAGGGTAATATTATAGCTGCACCCAGTAGTGCCACTATAGTTAAGGGTCTGTCAGACTTTCCATTACAAGCCCCGTTTTGGGGGTAGGTGGTGTGAGTAGACTCGTCTGTTTTAAATTGCATTAGTCACACACTTGGCACGTGTTGGCAAGTCAGAGGGGTTTTTCTGTGAATATTTAAATCTTCAGCTCCTTTTAAAAAATCCATTGAAAAAAACCTTTTTCAGGAGTTTGAAACAAAATTCTTGATGTATTTTTTAAATGGCTGTGTTTTAATTAATCTTCAGTAAAGCTGTCAATGGCATTCAGGGAAAAGTATTTCAAAACCAAAATCTGAACACAATTGTTTCATTAGTAAGAGAAGCCATGTCTAAACTCCACATCACTGACAAGCTCCTCTTGCTACGTTTCATGTATTTACTGCTCTTCACTTTTTATCTTACTTGTTTTGCCGTTGCTGGTGTTGTTATTAACTGTCACTTTGCCCAGAAATGGCTGGGGTTCAGTTGTGAGTGAAGCAGTAGCTTCATGTATCCTTCAAATTACTCTGTTAAGTTTGCAAGGCACCTCAAATCCCACAGGATGGCAGACAAAACCTAGATGTACAAGTGTTTAATGTTGTTTGTCATTAATAAATTCTGTGCACGTGCTATATGAAAATTTATAATGGACTAAAACATTACTGACTTGGGATATTAGGGTTAGGACAGGAGTGTTCTTACTAAATGTAACTAAAGCAAGCATGGAATCTAGGGTGATTTTTCTGCTCCTATTAGAACTTAAATGTATTTTTACTAGTGACTTAAATGGATTAGGATTTATCTCAAGATTCTACAGGCTGTTAGGATGTTGCCAACTGTAGGCAGTGTTATTTGATAAAGTTGAGTTCTAATGGATAATACCTAAATGACTGAGTTTGCTGGGATTTTACAGGATGAGATTATTATGGTGCCTTGGAGAGTGAGGTCATTTATTAAGAATAGTGTGGTTAATGTTGTGGGCTTTTTAATAACAATACCTGAATTTAAAGACTAGAAACCCAAGAAATTAAGTTTATGTAGTAGTTGTTCTCCTTTCTTTAGAATTCAAGGTCAAATCGTGTCTGAAATTTCCTGGTGTATTGCATAGCTTGTGTAGGTTCCCACACAAATTATGGTGTTTAAAGAAAGTTGCACATCTGCTTTTACTAACAGCTTTTAAAATCTCACAACCAAACTGTTTCTTAAATATATTTGCAAACAAATTTTTTCTTACAAGCATCTTAATAGACAGGAAAAGCACGTTAGAGCAATATGGGTTTGGATGGTTGTCTTTTTCTAATCCATGTTCTAGAGACCACAGTAAGATGGTGAGCTCTTGAGCCCCATGCAAATCCTCAAACAAAGGCAAGTTCATGTCTTGCCAGAGGCTGCAGCTCCCCTTTTTTCCAGCTCCAGCCATCCCTTTGTGCAGGCTTACTTGTCTCTCTTTTTTCTTTTTTTTTTTGGCTAGAATGGGTAAAGGAATCAAAATCAATCTGGAAGATTTCCACTTCCTTGTATGTATCGTTGCAGCTCTGTATGCCTTCAGAAGGAAGTAAAAAGTGTTGCTGCAGAGTTCTTTTAATTCTTTACATTTTGGCCACCACGTCCACTAAAGAGTTATTTTCTGTGTGGACAAAACAGCATGCAAAGTATGAAAATGCAGATTAATACAAAGTTGGAATTTTATATTTCATCTTCTCAGTATTGAACACTTCCTCTCTAGTGATTTCAGAGTCCCATTAAAGTTAATGAGAGTGGAGACCTCTGAGCATCTTGCAAGTTCAGGCCATTTCACTGCACAACAGAAAGGAAATGCAAATATTAAAATACTCCGAGCAACCTCACCAGTGTTTTGTAGAGAACTCAATTTCTCCTTGGATAAATCTGTGTGTGTGCCATCCACGTCAGCTGGACTGATGGGTCTGTATATGAAAAGCAGAAATTAGCCCTTGTGTAAGATTACATTTAGAAGTTTAACAAGGCATCAGCCATAATTTGCTGTATATGTGATCAATAAAAATTAAGATATGAATCTTATCTTTTGTATTTCTCAACACTATAAATACTAGTGTTAACACCAAGAGGTACATTATTGAAAACTCTGGTTTTAAAGAACTCCTTACTGGGGTGTTTTGCCATATTTCTGTAATTACATTTTGACCAGACTGCAGTACTGTAGTCTTTTATTATGGAAAAAAATGTAAAAACCCCACCTGCATCCATGGATAAAATTTATTAAAACCACTTTGTTGTCAAAAAACCATATTCATGTCTAAGTAAATTGAAAAGTTTGTATGTATTGTTAAGGTATTTTTCATTCTCTAGTGTTTCTTAGTGATGTCTATTAATTATCCTGAAAACATCCCTTTCGTATGGGCTAATTATCTGTGCACAAAATGTTGTCTGCATTTGAGCTGAAATGATTCTGAAGCCACGCTTCAGTCACTATAGGGGGGAAAAAATGCATCTCAGAACTAATGTTAATACAGATGGAGATTTTCTGGGTCTTCTGTGGACAAAAAAGTCAGGTTTTGAGGAAACCTAACTTGGAAAATTACTTTAAAAAAAAAAACCCACAACCAAAAGATATGTTAAAATAACAGTACAGTGAGAGTCTCAGTGCAACCTTAATTGTAGCTTGAAATGAGTGTCAGTCTTACACCTCACTCAAAATATTACAAGCTTAAATTAATGTTTTTTTGTTATTATTACTTTAAATATATTTATACTGGAAGCACGTTTAAACTTTGATACATGGTATTCATATATTATGTTTTAATTTGCATTCATTAGGATAGCATATGGAATAATCAAAAGCTTTTCCTAAGCATTTTTTTTAGTGTTATCTCTATAAAACTTTAATATTTGAGGAAATCTTGCTTGGTAAAAGAATCTTTGTGGTTTTGATTAAAACAAAAAGGATTTGAGCGAGACATTTAAACTAATGAATCAAAATCAGATATGTGGTCATTATTGGCTGATTATTACTCCATCTGCTCTGTGCTAACGTGAAAATCAATTACTGTGTCTCTTTCCCACTGACAGCGTATGTTGATCGGGCTGGCAAGGGATCTTCAAGGGATTGCCTTTGCACTAAACACAAAGACCAGCTACACCATGCTGTTTGACTGGATGTATCCTTATTACACTATGACAATACCAGCTCTGTGCACAGAGGGATACCAGGCCCCTTGCATTAGTTTAATAGTATGGCACAGTGGGGAAGAGGAAACAAAGCTAAATGAACTAATGTGTAATCAGCTAAAATTACAGCACAATGGCAACCATGCAGTTAACTGGGAAGGACCACAGAGAGGTCACTTTTTTGTTGTGTCACACTGCTAATCTACAAAACATATCCAAGTGCTTTTCCTCCCTTCACAAATCCCTTATGTTTTCATGAAAAAAAAAAAAAAAAAGCTCTGTCTGACTCCAAACACAATGTACCAGCATTTGGTTTAACATCAAAAGTGCTTAAAAAAATACTACACAAGTGCTATCTGGGGAGATTCCTCTCTCTGGTATGAATCATGTCTTTAATTTAGTCAGTTACTTTCTATTTATGTCAACTCTATTAATATCACAACACCTGCAGTCTTGTTGATCCAGAAGAAAATGGACATGTGAAAACAAAATCAAAACCTTTAGACTGTAGTTTTCTCCAGTAAGGAATGGTAATGGAACTCTATTTGCTTTAAATATTGTATACATTTTTATGCTAACAAATACAATAATACTCATGGGTATTTCCTAATACTATAGAGAAATGGTTTGTATTTTTATAAATACAGTAGCTGTAATTCTCTCTTCAGGCACACAGTCATGTTAGTAACAAACTGCTGAAATACATAGTGAAGTAACTATGCAAATACTTGGTTTATAATTTAGATCTCACAAAGTTATGGAAGGTAATTATGTATTTGTTTATTTTCTGGACATAAAAAATCCCATTCAAGTACAATTACATGCTTTGCTAGAAATCAAGCTCTTAAAAATACTTTTATTTGAAGTAAACAATGAAACCCTACTGTTCACTAATAATCTTCCAGGTTAAGAAAAAGAAATGCATCAATATAGAATTGCAACTAGGAAATTAGCCTTTAAGGACAGAAAGGCTTATGCCAGCAGAGCCTGGTATGATCTGACAGACATCCTTGTGTGGTGGGAGTAGGATTCTGATGACCATTCATGTAAGCCCTATTTAAGACCTTTGCAAGCCTACACTGATTTTGTCTATGTGCAGGCTCAGCTTGCAGAAAGTAAGTCTAAACCATAAAGCAGTGTAATCTTTACTTCTTTTAAAATCAGTGGAAAGCATCCCTTAATTTCTGATTAAGAGGACTGGGGAAAAAAAAAAAAAAAAGGAAAAGTAAAAAAAATTAAAACAAGCACAAACCCCCAAAACTACTGAAGCCAGACTGTGAATTAACATCTCATTTTCTAGTGGGCACCATTGGGTACATTTAACTTCGTTAGTACTGTTTGTGCTTGTGTTACCCTAAAACTTAATCATGATCTCAGGAAGATGTGTAAAAGCAGAGCTGTGCTGCTTCCATTTGAGATTCTTTATACTTTGTTTCTCCTAGTGCAGCATGAGTATCATGCTCTGCTCCTCTGCAAATCTCCAGTTGTAGGGGGAGGGATAACAGGCACTCACCTCCTCTCCATTTGAAAGAAATGGATTCATCCATGGAGGTGGATTTTTTAATACAAGGATATATAATCCTCAGGACCCTTTCCTGATTTTTTTTTTATTAATGAATGTATTCTTTCTATTTTATGAATTAAGTTTATTTCAAATGAAGAAAAACAGCCTCCAACTTTTGGATTTCATTATTCTATATGAATAATAAAACCAGATTGAAATGTAGCTTTGTGTAGAATTCAAAGCTTTGTCCTTCTCAGCTTCTTTTACCTTATGCAGGTTCAGAATCTTTTTTCTTCCTCACCTTTGGCTGTAAAAGATAAGTGCATGCTTCTGCTCAATGGATTTCACCTCATTTGGCTGAGCCCAGCTTCATCCAGGTATTGATCCAAAGCATTATAGCAGAATAAGCTGCTATTATTGCAACTCTTATTTACCGTATATAAAGACAGAAAGGTAAGGGAGCAGGAGAGGTCAGATGCCAATTGTGTCACATAAAGTTTAAATATCCTTTGATTAACATATTTCTTTTGTAGTTTCAAATATATCATCAGAAGATAGTTTTAATAGCAAAGAAGAGCTGTTTTTCAAACAGGTTTTAGTCTGTTATGTTTGAAGCTGCAGTATTTCAATATTGAAAACAGCAAATACAGAATATGAGGCAAAATAAATCTGATATACTTTATTTGTTCAATAAATAAACAATACAAAGAGGCAAGGGATAAAAGGCTAAGCTTTTAATATACCATAAGATGATGTTTATTCTGTGCTGAAGACTATCAGAAATAGTCACTTGTAGATCATTGATAGAGGAATGTATTGATAAACTTTTCAACTGATTGCAGGAGATATTTTGGGTCTAAGCCCTGTCCCTTTACAAAACAAATAACACTCGGTAATCTCTCACCTCAGAGATGTTTTTTTTCCTCATGGCGAAATGTTTAGGATTTAAGTTTTGTCCAGTAGATGGCAAAAATGAGCAAAAATAATTTCTTTGAAGTCCTTTTGGTCCGGGGCGGGGGGAGGCACAGGGGATGCCGTTGGATCTTGTATTTTACCATTATGATTGAGTTATTAGGCTCATGGTTTAGAGGTGAATTGTCAGGTGTGCTGAGGCTGTGCTAGATTGCCAAATAGGGCTGTTTTGTAGCAGGCTTGCTTATACTAATTGAGTTTCTCTAGCAAATCAGGCTCCTTGGAAAAAGGCCAAAGGCTTTTCATAATTGTATTGACAAGAAAATGAATATGATAAATGGTGTTCATTCAGCTGAGACAAGATTTATAGTTTTCCTCTGGCAAGGGATGAAGAAAAAATACTTATAATAATAGTAAAATTTGTTTTAAAGTTGTATTAGGTGATCTCTCAAAAGACTTCATTAGAATATTTCCAAATGTTTTAAGCAGCTTCAGGTGTTAAGTATAGCATCTTCCCAAAGTAGCGGGTAATGAAAGATGAAGAAAACCATCACACAAACAAACAAACAAACCAAAACAAAAACTAAAACCCTGGATATGAAAGTCATTCATTCTACCTGAAATATTGATATGTCAAGCTGTCAATGATGATTCCAGTACCACAGCTTTGGGAAGTTTATTTGCCTTTTGTATTCGTTACATGTGGTCTCTGTAATTTGTAGGTCAGTCCTAAACATGCAGGTATGGCCTGAGAAAAACCTGTATAGCAATTTGAGTAGCATCAAAACCTGGTTTTGTTACTGGTGATGATTCTCCTTATGTATTTTATTCTACTATTTACTTCAAGACTGCCTGGATGAGATGTTGAATGTTTAATCTGTTTTCTTCCATACTAATATCAGACTGCAGTCTAAGGTCCGTGGTCTCACAGTCAGATATGTCCATGGAGATTCAGTTGTGAGTTCAGGGTAATATCCACTTTTTTGTTGCTTTCATTTAGTGTTTCTTACAGTTAGGTGGTAACCCATAGGCAGTTTTTCCTGTATTCCTCCCAGTTGATTCTCAGTATTTAATGACTTCTGTTGTCTGTGAAAGAAAAAGGTTGCAGTAAGAAAATGGGTTGCAAGAATTAAATTATTAGGCTGACTCAGAGTTGCAGTCAGCTAGAAACCGTGTGATGTTTATGCACGAGTGCATGGAATTGCCTGTATAAAACTATCTATGTGTATAGAATCAGAGACACTAAATTTATAAAGAAGTGATCTCTTATTGAGGTGTTTTATCTAGTGGTCATTTAAAAGTTCCACTTGACCTAGACATTTGGATGTCTGATCGTGTGCTGCTTCAGACAGGGATCACTAGAACAAGCAAAACTATCTTTGCATCTAACTACTATTGTTATGTATTTATCCAAATTTATATGGCATTTCTTAATGAAATACACCACATGTAGCACTAAGATGGCTTGTTCAGAATGAATCTATTTTTAAGGAACTGTATTTTCAAGCTTCTGTGTTTTGAGGATTCAGGATTAGGTACAAACTTGAAAGAGCCAAACAAGCAGTAGAGACTGAAATTCCCCAGTCACAAGAGAAGAGGAGAACACATTTTCTCATGAAACAAGACTACGAGATCAGTAGTCTGTTTGTAATAGCAGATATTGCCAGTTGCATTGATTCAAACCACAGTATCAGTTTTTGCAGTTTGAATTTCTTTGAGCTCAAACTGACTGGTCAGGTTAAGTTCATGACTTAGCCAGATTCCTGGAAGCTTGTGGTTAAAAACACTTCAAAGTAATACTCTGTTTAAAACCAATTTGTTCCACTTCATTGGATTTATAAAAGAAATAATAAATTGCTGAAGCCTTTCTGCTGACCCGAGCTTTTATAAAATTTGACTATAGTTTCCGGACTTACCTTGTCAATGAATATGGACTCAATGCTTAAGTTTTTTAATTAAGATAGGTAATCATATTGGATGTATTAGCAGCCTTTGCTGCTGCCAACTTACATTTCAGTTGTGGGGTTTGGCTGTCAAGTTACTCTCTTCACCATGAAATGTGAAAAGACTGTTTTCTACCCCATGAAATTCCACAAAGGGGCTTTGCAGCATCGCACCATGTCCCTTTTGTGTACATAGGGCTACTAGGAAGGCTAAGGAAGAGGCAGGACTTAAGAAAATTAATAATTAACAGCATGTCTCAGTTCTGTATCTTCCATGGCATCTGCTGCATCTTGAGAACGCTGACCATCCTCTGTGGAGAGTGAGCTGGATTGGGAGTCCACTTCAGAGAAAATGGAACTGGCAGTAGTGAATTTTTAAAGGTATGACGTGGCATGGATCATCTATGCCCTTTGAGGATGTTTTAGGTAAGTGAGATTTGAATTGAAATCCCAGTTTATTACTGGATAACTCTCCATGGTATCTTTAACTCTAGTCTGTTTGATTTAAAATGTAAAGAACCCCATAATAAAGGAGGGAGAAGCAAGGTCTGAAAGTGTATTTCACATGTCACCCTCTTCTGCTATATATAGTTTATGCCTGCAGTGCCTCAAGCAGCTGGCAGCAAAAATGCACAAGTCTTTAGATGCCTCAGACAGCAGTAGCCAGAATGCCTCCCATCTGTCTGCACAGCCTGTCATTCATCAGCAGTGCTACAGCTGATGGCTTTAGCCTTTTCCAGAAGAGCTGTATTGAACTGAGACATGACTGTGTCTACATAGCCTAGAAGCATGTAAACCTTTATGTATTTCACAATTCCACGTTGAGTGCTTGGCCTGTATTCTACTTGGTAAGGTGTCTGAATGTGCAATAGCATTTTCTTAATAATAGTCACTATTTCATGCGTGGTTAAATAAAGCAGAAGTATATGACATGAAGCAAAGTTTAAAATGAAAAAAGTGGATATTACCCTGAACTCACAACTGAATCTCCATGTGCAGTTTACAAACTACCTTTCTTTTTCTTCATCACCGCTCTGGTATATTTACTATTTCCCACTTAACCATTAACGTTTCCAAAGAATTTAGTCTTCTAAGCAGAGACTTGCTTAAGTTTATAGTTGTTGGCCTGTGTGAGAATGAGCTGACAAAGTCTGTGTCTGACCCACCCACTAAGGGTGTAGCACAGTTTTAGGGGAAGTTGTTTTGCAAGATGTTATTTTATCAATATCCTCTTTAACTTGGTCTGGTAAAGATCCCCATATACATTTCTGTTCTGCAAAGACCTATTGAGCTGTGGTACTGTGAGCCTGCGTGCACAACCCCCATCTTGAAGCTGATGGCAGAATTCCCGCAAAACAGGTAAGAAGCGTGTGAAAATAAGATAAATGATGAGTACTGCAATGGTGTGCATTCTCTGTTCTATCTTTTGTTGTTTTGCTTATGCTTTTGATGTCTGACTTTGACTTTAAGACTGCTACTTTTGTATTTTGGAACAAAAATTTGCAATAAGAACACAGCTTTCAGTGTCATCGTATTGTTTTACCAAAATGGTAGATGTTACAAAATCAGCTGGTAAGGGTTAGTTACAGGAATATGTATGAGAGACTGCTGTGATTTTACATTCAGTGTTAGTGGAAGGCTATGCTTTAACCAGGGATAAATACCGACTCTATAATTAAATATTGGAAAATTGTCTGCTGTCAAGATTTGCTGCAGGCTGAATTTTTGCCTTAAGCCAAGCAGCATACATATGTGACTGGAAAACCACAACTCCCTTCACAGTTTCTTCTGCAACTCAGCTCTTTCAGCCAAAACAGGAAAAAGTGGCATTTAATACCGCAATATTTATAATCAACATGCAAGTAACTTCTCACATCTAACACCACCTCCGTGGGCTAACCGATAGGCTTCAGAATGATTCTAGGAGGTGATTTCGATACTTGGCATTGCAATAGTTAGAATGAAATTTCTGGTTTACCACAGCAGAACAACGTATTTTGGGGAATTATCATTACACTTGGAAAGATGTAGTGTACTGCCCAAAGGAAAAAAAGCATTTTTAAATGAAAAATTGATAGTTAAAGTCTCTGTGCTGGGTATCTTTGCAACCAAAGTAATTAGAGTTTTCAGCAATGAAGTATGTGTTCTCATAATTTCCCATTTTGCCTTGCAAATCAAACTTACAGGGAAAAGAAGTTGAAATATTTGAAATTTGAAAAAATATTTTGTTTATTCCAGTGACAAGAAGTTGGTGCTTTGAAGTTCAGAGCTGGCTCCCAGTCAGACACCAGTGTGTGTGATGGGCATGTCATCCTTGAATGGCTACACAAGCCTTATGGCAGAATTCCCTGTTTCGTGTTTGTGTTGACTTGCTTGCTGTGACTCCCTCTTCAGTTTGTGTTGGCTAATTTTATCTTTTATCCTGGTAGTAGCATAATAAATTGCCGGAAAAGTTTAACCTCTTTTTATTCATGATGCCATGCACAAGCAGGACACTCTGATCGTGCTGCAACTGATTACAAGGAGGAGATTGTTAAGACATAAACACAGAACTCTAATAACGGTAAACAAAGAGGAACTGGAACAATAAATCTTATGCAAAATACTGCTCTTCAAGCTACTTTACATATTCACGTTATCCTTCTACTTATTGATATTCAGAAAATCTGCCTTGTTCCCTTTAGAAAACATGATCTGGGATAGTGTTTGTTCACAACTTGTGCACTGCTTTAGCTTTTACGGGTTAGAATGCATTATACAAGGTACTTTGACATGGTTAAAAGATGTTACAGAGTGTGCATTATGCCACTCTGATACTGAGAGAATGTGCTGGTTTGGGGTTTTTTCACCTCTGCCAGCTATTATCATTTTGTGCAGCTGGAATACGAGATTGTTTTATACATGGTGTGTTTATGAACATCCAGATTTACTCCAGAGTTTGGAGCAAACGACCTTGCAAATAGGTGCTCTGACAACAAAATATTGGACTTGCAGCGAATATAGATAGATACTGTTGTCTCTGTGAAAGGGGTGACCCAGGGGCTCCATATTTGATCAGACATGGATGACTAACAACTAGGGGTGAAATACTGAGCCGGGGATGCTCTGGTTTGCATCACTCAGTCATGATTCCTTTCTCTTTCAGCTCAAATAAACACTAAGGGTAAGTTTTGCTCAAGTTACTTAGAAGCTGAACACCTATATTTGAAGTTAACTTTTAGGCCTGAACTACAAATTAGGCTTCTTTATCACAGAGAGAAACTGGAAAGATGCAACAGGGACTTTAGCAAGGACTCTGCTGTATTTCCAGATTGGGAACACAACAGTTCTTGTTGGCTTAAATAGTACCTGTACATCAGGGAAGACAACATGGTGTGATCTTTCTCAGGTCTGACTGTTACAACTTGATGAACTGGTATGGGATTGCCGTAGATTTTACGTAGCAGTATAACCAGTGTGTATTAGTGTATGTTTAAAAGCTGTACAGCTGCAGAAGCCAGGTAAAAGTGCTACCTGCTTGGATTATGAACCTTAGTAGCACTTTTCTGAACTGTACATGGGCACAAGATGTTCATCAGTCTCTGAAAGCTGTGTATGTGGTGTCACCTTTTCTGGTTCAAATTGGTTTGTCTTTTGCCATAGGATTGTTTCATTGTCAACATATGGTGAGTGCTTATCATTGGACTGAAAGCTAGATTTAGTTCATCAAATAATTGTATGTTGTAATCAGTGAATGTTCTTCTTTGTTTTAGGAATTAATCCATTGCAGTTTTCTGCTTCGATGACCATCCTAATATTTTTGCTGTTATTTTTTAGATCGCAACATTTAAATTTTGATGTATCATCTCCAAATGGAATTTTTCTCTTCAGAGAAGCTAGTAAAATGATTTCTACCTATGGTAGGTATTCATTAACACTTCCTCTGGCGTGAAAGTCTTTGCTTGTCTCATGACACAAACATCCTTATAGTTCATATTGCTGAGCACCAATGGATTTGTGGAACACGTAGCAGGGCTGTAATGTGTTGTAGCCAGTAGCAGCCCTTTGTGAAGTGCAGAGCTGATGTGGCACATTTTTGGAGCTTATTTGCCTTCATAGATCAGGGTTCATTCATGTAGCATTGTTCCTTGTATCACTTTTTAACTTGAATGCCAGTCTTCTAGCAACTGTAAGCTAGCAAAGATGCAAGTGAGGTGTTTGATCTAGGCTACAACTGATAGGTGTGGGCTGGTTTTATGTATTCAGATTATCTTCCAACAGTTCCAAAACATAATAGGACTATAACAGCTTTACCCTAGTAGAGCACTGTTAAAGGTGTTTGTAGTAAGTTGCTCCGTTTTACTGTTCCCACTCATGCATGCAACTTCAACAGCTCTTTGACACAAGCAGCTTGTCTTACACTCCAGCTAACTTTGTTACTTACAATTTTGCTTTCTAAATACTTTGAAAGCAACATTACCAACTTTTTGAAGAGCAACCTCATTTGTAGTTTGCGTAAACAGAAAGAGTCATAAATGTCCTATTTCTTGAAAAGAAAGAAAATTGGTGCATCAGATTTGCTTTTACTGCATTCAGGTTGCTTTTTGGGTGTGGAAACTGTGTGTTGCATTGTCTGCCTGTATAAAAAACTTCAAATGTAATTTTATATTGGAGCTGTGGAGCATGGAAGCAGTATATACATATAGCATTTACTTATGACAGAAAAAATTACACCCAAGTAACTCTGAGCCCTTGCAAAATCATTTTCTGTTTCTTTTTCAAATACACCGTGTAGTAATCTAGCACATTTTTTCAACTATGTTCTTAAGTAAAATTGTTAGAACAATTAAGCAAAGTAAAAAAAAGGGTTTCCATGTATGAAATGGTAAAAGGTAAACCTTTAGGTTTTAAATCTCAATTGCTGTTAGTCTTTCATAGAATCACAGAATCCCAGACTGGTTTGGGTTGGAAGGGACCTTAATGCTCATCTAATCCCACCTCTCTGCCACAGGCAGGGACACCTTCCACTAGAGCAGGTTGCTTAAAGCCCTGACCAACCTGGCCTTGAACTAAAAAAATACACCTTATTATTGGACATCTATTCCTCTCAGTTGTTGGTATCAAGTTTCTAAACCTTGCTGAGTAAACCATACTAGTTGGTTTCAACCAGTGTCATTCCTTATTCATGAAATAAAAAATCTCTAAAAGAACCCCAGCTTTGTAAAGAAACCTTTTGCTTTCAATTGAAGCTTGTATGGTGTGTATGTGAAGTTCATCAAATTCTCAGCTATAAAGTATTGGTAGCTCTTGCACATAAGGACCAGACAAGATTTTCTGTCTCATGCTAGAATTTAATTATGCAACATAAAAGGAAATTTCAGAATGATGCAGGTCTAAGATGTAATGATAGAAGCCTGTGTCCAAATACCTGCTTGCCTCATTGTTACCTTATGTGAAACATACTTAGCAATGTGTGGCATCTGTCTGGAGATATGTGCTGGGGAAAGAAGTTAAATGACCGTAGCAGCTTTCTGTCTTTTCTGTTTTTAGAAACTCCTTCCCTGTGGGAGGGTGACATTTTAGTCAACACATGTTTAAGAGGAGAACTCTTCTTAATGCCCTCTGAAAGAAAAATCTAAAATCACATATTGACTGGACGTGGAAGAAAGCTGTAGGTGTGGGAGAAAGCCCCCACTCAATATATGAATCCCTTTTTTTTTTCCATTTTGCTTTTAAAACGCATTCATGTTATCAGTGGCTGAAAGGGTCCCATCAGGGATACTTCCACAACTTAGCTGTGACATTTAGAGGAACTGTGTAGGTTTTCTTTTCCTACATCAGAGCTACTTCAGACTGCTAAAGCCATTTCTGAAGTGGTCACTGGCTTGGAGTATGGGGAGGTTTTACTGTCCACTGTTAAGTATTTCAAGATACCACAATTCATCAGCTTTCAATAATTGCTGCTAATATTTTTAGCTTTTATCGCCAATTACTAGTTTCTGAGATTTCCATTTCAGTGTACAGAAAGATATAACTCTTCTGGAAACATGTTGTAAGGATTCATTACTTTAATTATGTACGAATTTTTTGAGTGTACAAATTCCTATAAAAATAGTGATATTAAAGGATCTTGCATTAATTTCAAATGCCTTCTTGATAATGTTAAAACTTAAAATGTGCTTATGAAGAAAACTTTGATCCATAATACTCTTATGACTTTTTAAAAGTATATTTGTCTTTTAAGTATATATAATCTTTGCAGACATCTGGGGGAAAATAAACAAATAAACCAAGTGATGATTATGAAATTTCCCTGTGGTGTTCTTGAGCAATATTTCCAGCCCCACATTCTGAAAAATTCTATGATTCAGTTAAAAGAATGAATATGTACATGAATACTTCTAATCCTTTGGCTCAGCTTTCAAATTTTCTGCTGTACCATTACTGCAAGTGTCTTAAAATTCTGAAAATAGTTGAGATTTTATGTCTGAAGCATTAGAGAAAAAAATAGAAGATGCACAGCACATGTCAACAGACACTCTATGATCATTTATCTTACCAAGTCATCCCAACCTCTTTTATATGCCTGCAGCTTATAGTGAGTTCCTCAAAGCTGATCAAAAAGACACTTGAAACTCAAGATAGATTTGATTGAAATCTATACTATAATAATTGCCTTCTTAAACTGAGAGAAACACGAAGTGTTGACATGAGACGGAGGCGGGGGCAATAGAAGCAAACATCCATTTCTTTCATCACACTGTCCTTGTGGGAAGATCTGTCATTTCAGTCTCGGTTTCACTTAATCCATTGACCAAGTGGCTTGCCATAAACTCTGCCCAGCCTTCTCTCATCCTGGAGAAGTTCTTTCCATCCCCTGGAGAGCTGGCTTTGTTTGCTTCACTTGCCAATCCCTGTCTGAACACCAGACTTCCAACTCTGCCTGTTACCTCCCGCCTCCTCCTTCCTGTGCCTTTGACAGTGTGGGTTTCCTTCCCATAGCTCAACGGGTCTCCAGGGAAAGGCTTGGTCCCTCTTCTGCAGACAGTGTCGCCTAGTCTGGTGGTTTCTCTTTCTTAGAAGACTAGAACGTACAAATAATAAACAAAAATATGGCTTAATTGTATTGTGCTTCCATTTGTAAGTGATGTTTAAATTTGGTTTAGAACATGATTTTTCCTTCTCTCTCATATGTGATACTGTGGAGAAGATTCCAGTACAAGTGTTATTTTCATAAATTTTACCTGCACCAAATTCAACATGAAAATTTCCAGTTATGACTTAGGTCCTCTGGGAGTCTTCTTGCTATTAAACCTGTAAGTACACAGATGTGATCTGAAATATGTCTCTGTCCTGTCAGCTAATTCCTGACAAGGAATTAGTAGCTGAAGGGAGGTGGCATCAGGTGATCCTTCACACCAGCCTCAGAGCACAGTGCACTGGTAATTCCTGACGTAATGTTGATTTTAGCTAAGTCTGGACTACACCGATCAAGGCAGTTTTGAATAACACACAGATACTTTGCAGATCCGGCTTTTTTCAGGTGATGAAAATCATCTAGAAGTTATATGTGGATTTGTTTTGGGTAAACCCCTTACTGTTGTTTACATGGAAATAACTTTGAAGCAAACTGACCTAGCATGTTGCTTTCTTTCCATCTTCAATTTTGCTGAAGTTTGTGATGTCTGTTTATGGTACCTCCATTTACTATCTATATGTACTGTAAAACCTGTGCTTGGGCTAAAAGCAAAAGGGGGAAGAAAAGGGCAGAACTGTGTTTCTGGGGTGTGAATGTATGTTGACACTTGTGGGTATGGATGCTGAAATCTCTTTAATTCTAGACTGAAGCATTTAGGAATTTCGTAAGTTTGAGTGCAAAGTAGAAAAAAATCCAAAATGCTGATTTTTAAGCTATGTTAAACATCCTCAGCTGTCAGTGAATAAAATCTCAAATATGAATTCTTTGTACTTTTGAAAATTAGCACCTCAGCAAGTGTTTAATTCTGCTTCACAGATCCCGCTTCACAATTAGGGTAGTACTTCTGTGTCCTGTCCTGTTCATTTCTCACTGATGCTGATACAGTGTTGAAGACAATTCTAAGATGTCTTTACAAATGCTCTGTGTTAAAAAGATGTCAAGCCTGGTGTAGGATGCACTTAGTCAATTATCCTCATTAAGACTCTGCAGCTGCTTGGCAAGGGGTGTTGTGTCTTGTCCATTATGGCTAGAGCCAGTCTGACTGAGTGACAGTGAATTAAAATAAACAGGAGAGGAGAGAAGCGAAAGGAGTTGGAATAGTCTAGTCCACCATTCTTCATCCCCAATATATTTCACTTTTAATTCTCTGTGTACAAGTCTCCTTACTATGAGTTTTTGAACTCCCAGTTGTATAGGAATGATGTTTCAGTGCATGTTGGGACCATCTCTTTGTTTTGTGGTTTCTTCACCTTTTAGAAAACCTCTTCCCTTTCATTATAGGAAACCGACATAAAAATAATATTTTCAATATGCTGTTTTTATTTATCTACATTCTGTCATGATATACTTTGATGTAAGTTTTTAATTTTGCTTCAGCTTTCAGCTGTTGCAGCAGTTACTGCTCAAGGTCAGCGATGAGGTTAGCCACAGTAGCACAAAACAATTTCCTGTTCTCACAGCCCAGGTAGCATTTGGATGTGGATTAAATTTTACCACATTTTCCAGTAGCCAGACACAATTATTTCTAATGAGCTTTAAATTGCTTCCAGAACATGTATTTCAAAACTTAGTGTGGTAATCCATTCAGTGCCAGCAACTTCATAAGGTAACAGTTCTTCAGAGTTTTGGTTAAACTGATTCGTGCTGTACAACAGGTATTTCTAATCAGCAGCTTAGCTTAAAAGTGGAGTGCTGGCTGATCCTGGTTGCCATTGGTCCTCTCTTTTGTGATAGTGGTTCCAGAATGTATTGTTCTTCATTACCAACTCAGATTTCATAACCAGTTTCTTTTGGTAAATTTATCTTGGCGCTGTGCATGCTTGTTGTGCTGATTCAAGAGGTTTTATGCATGTTTTGTTCTTGTGGAAGCTTTAAAAAGATGTGAAGCTCGCTCACATCTTTATAGTTCACATTTTCGTCTTTGTTTTCTGTATATGGCCACTTCTTTATACTGCCCTAGCATTCTGAGTGCCTGGAAAGCATACTTGCAACACCATCTTTATGGGGCAGTGGTGAATAATAAAAATAGGAAAGGAGAAAAGGCAAAAAATACTTTTTCTCTATAAATGTGGTAAATTTTCATAACCTTTGTTTAATCTCACCAGAGTCTTTTTTTATCATCATCTAATTCACACATGTTAAAACATGATTTAGTTGTATTATTATGCATAATGCTTATTGGACTGAAATCTAGAACAAGCCCTGCTTAAATGAAGCTCAGCCATAAGGAAATAATTTTTGTATTATAGCTCCTACTGTAAAAGCAATTAAGGAGGAGAACTGAAAGGGAAGCTGCCTGTCCTGACATGCTCCCACATCTGGGAGGAGAGAGGGAATGAGCTGTGCAAAGAGCTCTGGTGCATATTGCCAGTGGGATTCTGAGGCTTGGTGATGTTATCTTCAGTCAGAGCATCCCAGTCTGGGGGGTTGCTGGCTTCATGCTTCCCCTCTGCATACACACACTTTTTCTTTCCAGCTCCTTTGTTTATGTACCAAGGAGTCTTTGGGTAATTAAATGCTTCAATTAGCAACCATATCCAAGCCCTTATTTCCTATCTAGCAGCTTCACCCAATACAGTTAAAAATCCTTTAGTTGCTCCTGTCAGAATTTTGTACCACCTGTGAGGCTCAGCGAGTTTTTGTAAGTGACATTGTTGTCAAATGCAGGGCAAAAAGCTGTATTAGAGGAAATCATTGAAAATTGTTAACATCAGTGTATTTTTTTGTTTGATTTTTGGCTCATCAGTAACACTGCAACTTCACTGATTAGTCCCTACGTAGTTTTCATTTTGACAGGAGCTATGAATTTCAAACACTTTTTTTTCAATTCAGCATTTCAAAGGTCACTCTTACGTTGATTTAATTTCTTTATATTGTTTCTTTTAACAATAGGAGTTTTTAAAATTGTATTTTGGTCCTCTACTACAGGGATTATAAATGTAAGCGTACCCTCAGTAGCTGAGGAGTTGTTCTTGACCTGATTCCAAGTACCTCAGTAAATTAGTTTATGTTCAGTAGTATCCATGGTGTGTAAAAATATTCCCCTGAAGCTCCTGCTAAATGTTACAAGTAGATCATTCTTTTTTCATCTAGTCAGGCATAGACTGTACTACTTTTTTTTTTTTCCCCAATAACTACTGCTAAAACACCAGTCTTCATTCTAGCACCACATCCCTTGAATCATAGGCTGATGGCTTGGGGCATTGGTAACAGGCACCGTGTGGTCTTTCACCTCTGCTACCAATTTGAAATCAGTTGTTCCCACTCTTAGGCCCTTTTAAAATGAGCCCACGAACACAGACCTCTGTGGACTTTGTCAACTGGCAAAAAGCAGCTTTTAATGTTGTGCAAGACCCAATTTCTGCCATGTTTTCATTAAGAGGGATAGGAACTGAATTCTTCTGCCATGCCTGCCCAAGGTGAGGCAGTGTGAGGGAGCAGGGGTTGCGCCTTCCTCTGTTGAATGCTTTATGCTGATCAATGGATTTAAAGTTTTAGTTATAGGGTGGTCTTTAGGAAGTAATAAAAATGATGGAAGATCAGTACTTGTCGTACCTCCTAGAATTCATGTTCGCAGGCTAAGGGATTCCTAGAGTTTTGCAACTTCTTTCTTCATTATCTGGTTTTTCCACCAACTTCCAATTAATTTCCATATTAAGTACATAATTGCTTATTGACAACTACTGAGCTCTTTCCATCTGTTGTTGTATGTTACACCAAGAACTTCAAGGAGCTAGGACTGTCCACTGTCATGCTTGGACAGCTCAGCTGTAAACTCAAGGCTGTTACTTTCTTGGATCCAGAACCTTGTCTTTGCTTATTTCTGAAGCCAGATATATATTTGGGTTATTAGAGATTTGCAGCAGAGAATTCAATCGGGAAAGACAAGATAAAGTTAGTTTACAGCACACTTACCTTCCAGTCTTGTTTTTTGGCCTAAGAATTGCACACTATTTGCATAGTGGCTTTCAGAAGTAGCATGCATCTTCCCACTGCATCTCACAGGCAGTATTTGAAATTCACTGATCTCAGTAATAACTAGACTAGGTCACGTCAAAAATATTAATGCTCCCTGAGATTACTTGGCTGGGATATCTTAAATAGGGCACTATATGAAGCTAAATGTATTTTATCTTTCATATTATGTAAATGTAATTTCTCAGTAATGCTAAGTATTGCAATAAATGAATGTCCAAGTACACTAGAAGACATTTTTCTTCTTCTGCTATGTTTTGGTTTTCAAAGAGGATCTTTTGAATACCAGTCACTTTTAGTATAAGGGAGATTTAACAGCATTTGGAATTAATTTCTGTGCAGTAGCAGTCACTGGAATTGTACCCTTTTCCCCAGTTTTACTGTGTTCCCGACTACAGCATTCAGGGTGACAGAGGCTCTTACATGACCATTTACAGTATCAAAACCATTTTGTATTTTCATTCTTTTTCTTTTTTCATTAAGAGGGCTTCACTTTGATGGTAAGTGACCATCTTTCCTAGCTGTTTGATTCTTCGCCTCCTTTCCATAATTCCAGTGGTGCCATTACGGCTTCTTACAGACCCCAGTTACTTCTTACAAGCAATCCCTGATTGTACTCCTAGTCAATGGTAAATCAACTTTTCCTTTACAACCTGATGGATAAATTGCCTTGTACTTGCTAGAAGTGGTGAACAGCATTTAAACAGCAACTTAGGCCTTTCCCTCTTTGCATCAAATGATACCAAATGGGTGATACTTTGGTGTGTTGGGTGTTTAGAAACAAGACTTTTCCCCTCATTTTTCAAATTACATGTTGTAAATTCTTCATTGTCAGTAATCAACAGCAGCAAGAGAAGGAATTAAAATAAGGCAGGTATATGATTTGCAGGTGGGAATTTGCATGGGGTAGGAGGGAGAACTGTGTAGAGAGAGTCAATATTAGGCCTCAGTATATATTAAACAATGCTACAGTCTATGAGATCCGTGTCATCTCTGGCAAGTTTTTAGGGGCATTTTTTAGTTACCTATTATAAAAGCAAAACTGTGTTGTCCTACCTACCACTCTCTACCAGCAGTGTTTGGAACTGTAAATAGTTAATGTCTAGTTTACTCATTGCTCCTTGATCCAAGTTGTTATCGCGGCCACAACAACTACATTAGACGCTGAAAGCAGTCAAGCCAAACATCTGATCTGTAGACTACAGTGACTTTAATTGTAGGAATACTTTTTGAAATACAAATGTTTGTGTTAAAATTGCCAAGAATGATGAGTATTAACCTCATTATTAATATAATGAGTATTATAATTGAAGACCTGGCACTTGGTTTTTGTTTAAAAATACCCTGTCTTGAAGACAGACTAACTGCAGAGTGCTGTGAAGATGAGCATTAAATTATTACTAGATACTTAGAAAATTTGGTAATGAGGCCTTGTGAATAATCTGAACAGACTTGCAGCGTGATCTGCTGCACAGTGGATCCAGAAGTCACTATTGCTTGTTAATATCAACAGCAAATATTTACCATTAGCTGTTATTTTTACATTATGAACATGGAGTTTTTAATTAAAAAGTCATTCCCATCTGCGCCTGATAAAATAGATGCTTTTGTAATGGACATATTAGTTTTCTGAGGGATGTATTTAGTGTGTGTATACATCAGCAACCATCCCAAGAGACTGTCACGGTAATGGATCAAAACCGGGCTTTGCTGCAGCATGAGAAGCTATAAAACCATGTGTTGCAACTCTGTTCAGATTAAAGAATTCCTGCTGATAGACTCAGTCATGGTCTGGCTGTACATCAATGACGGGAATTCCATAGTTTATATTTTAAATTTTGCATACTAATTCCTTAGTGGCTTTTAAGCTCTAGTCATGCTTACTTAACAGATCTTTCACATCAAATGCATAAACAATTTTTCTTCTAAATAGTAATGAAAATAAAGACGAAAAAGAAAAAGTGTAGATAGTGCCATCACAATATTTTAGATTTACTGCTGCTTATATAAGTTTCTTTCTCTCTTTTTATGAGAACAGGTAATCAGATCCTCTCTCTTGAGACTTTGTCAAAAGATCAGGTTTATCCGTTGAAACTCAAGGGCATTTCCATCTGTTACTCTGCACTCAAATCTGCCTTATGTGGAAATTATGTCAGCTTTGGCGTCTTCAAGTTGTATGGGGACAACCACTTTGACAGTGTACTTCAGGCCTTTGTCAAAATGCTGCTTTCAGTATCCCACAGTGACTTGCTAGTAAGCAATTATTCATCTTGGGAGTCTTTACGTGAAATATGAACTAATACCACCACAGGCTTTGTATTGTTATAATGAGACAGAGGGATCTAGAACAGCTCAAATGTAGTTTTCAGTTCATTTACTTGTATTGATATAGCAATATCTAAAATATAGGTATGACTGAACTGCCGTGTGAAATGGGAGCTTTTCCAGAATTGTCACTAGGCTGGTCATAAAAGAGAGAAATGCAATTTTTTTTTTTCCTTCCTATATTTGCAAACCCATTTAGGTTGCCTGTATGCACTGTAAAACATCCTCGTGTATCCAGCCACTCTGCAATTAGTTTCAATCTGTAAACTGTCACTGTATTTATTCCCCATAATATGTAAAACTTTCATTTTAAAGTACACCATGTTCCCACTTCTCTGTGGGAAGACAACAGATTTTGTGCAATATCAGCCTAAGTTTTGGTTGTGATATATTCTTCATGACACTTTAGTTCAGAACTGTCATTTTCTTGCTGTAAGGAACAAATTTGGGATAGTTCAAGATGGGTTATACCCAAATTTATGCTTGCCACCTAAAGAAAGTCCTCGGAACTGAAAAGTTGCTCTCTATTAAAATTGCTGTATTGGTTGTATTAGTAAAGTGTGTGTATTTGCACATTCCTAACCATGCAACAATAAACGCCCTAAGAGTCCTTAAGAGTAAGGTGCTAATTGGGCCAATGGGTCCAAGCAAGCATCTTTGCCTGTGCAGAGCCTGTTACAGGACCTCACTTAAGCACCAAAAAAAATCCATCTCTGAGATGTTAAGGCGGAATCTGTGATAAATTCTAGTAAGATTTCCTGCAGCAGGTATGATACGGGCTGTAATCCTGTCAAACCGACACCCTGGCTAGAGCGCTATACTGCTTTTTCTAGACTGATAGCTGTGTAGAATGGCAAAGCATGGTACCATTATTGTATTATTCTCAGCTTATTATAAACTAACAGCAAGTTTATATCCTATGGTAAATTTGAAAAGCAGAAATCTACTGAAGACAAGAGAGTATCTTGTCTTTATTTTCATTTAATGGCAAATTAGAAATTATCACATCATAAAAACTGTAAGATCATTCTTCTGTCATCTTGTAATGTTAATATTAGTCATTAGTAATATCTGTGCTTTCTATGAATGTGTACTCTTATTTTCAGCAATATCAAAAGTTAAGCCAGTCTTACTACTCACTTTTGGAGTGCCAGACCCAAGATCATGTGAGTTTCATTAGCAGCTTAGAACTTAGCATCCTAATCTGTATTCTTACCTCAGTATCTGAAGGACTGACTGCAGTAGATAGGAACTACTTACACTCAGCTAAAGAAAGAATTCAAGTACTTAGCTATCTGGGATTTTCAAAGCAGCACATTAATTTGTATTTCTAAAAAATTAATGTGAAGTGACAGTGGAAGATGCTGGCTTCTGACCATTTTAAGAATGTGACTGTTTTGGTTAATGGAGCCAAGTTCTTTTAGACATCTAACGTATAGGTTTTTACAGACAGTATTTTTAATAGCCTTTTCTTACAAGCCAGAACTGTTACAATTATTAATGGGCCTCCATTAGGATTGTACTAAAAATGTATGCAGTTGTTCAGAAGTAAAATGTATTAATATGTGTACAGGAATCTGTGAGGTTTTGGTTTTATTTGATCAATGCATCTGTTGTATAAATAATGCTTGTTTTGCACGGCTGTGATATGATTTGAGAAATTGAAAGGTTTCCATGGAAAAAAGGAACTAGTTATTCAGTAATTCCTGAATATAGAATCACAGAATGCTTTGGGTTGGAAGGGACTTTAATATACTTTAGAGGAGAATCAGTGCAACAGTGGAGTAACGATAAAAATCCAGCAGTCTGATTGCAGTTGATTTCATTCTCTGTCATGATTTAATTTGGTTTTGAACTGGATAACTGTCCAAACATTTGGGGCTTGGACAGGGGTGGACAGGGTTAGTATCCTAAAGTCATTTGGAATATGGAGAAGACAACCTAGCATTTAGGGGAGAAAAAAATAAATCATGCAGTTATATTCTGACCACCTAGGAATATCATGCATTTATGTAATTTTTGACTGAGAAGCTGTTCAAAACCTTCTAGTCATATTTATTGATTGGGGTCGTTATGAAGGAAAAAACCCCAAGAACGGAGAATGTTAGTGTGTATAGATGTTACTCTATAATAGCTGGTGTTTCTCATTAGCACCAAGTGTCAGTCAAGCCCCATAGGAATGCATGGATGCACTGAGACTCAGAGCATTTGCTGTGTTGAACACATTCAGCAGTTTTTGCTGCAAGAGGGGAGCTGCTCTTGGAGAGAAAATGGGTAGTGAATACCTAAGCAACAGTAGTAAAGAAGTATTCAAGTCATTGTGTTATAAAATGCTGAAATCTATCTTCTCCTGGATACTCTGAGGGCTGTCACTTGCACCAGTGGTGCTTTGCAAGTGGGACGTTGTACTGAACATTAGCTCAGCTGACAGCTACTAGTTTAGCAAGCCCTGCTCATGTTCTGTTATCACTCCATGTCACATATCTTCCACTTGAGATGTTAGTTATATTAATTCTGATAATTCACTGGCATATAGAATTTGCTTCAACCATCTCATTGAAACCCAGGTTGAATTCATGTAAAAGCTATATAAGCTTCAGCTTTCATGTGTTATGTTTGTTTTCCCCTGTCAAAAAGTGTTGATCTCTCACTCAATGTAGGGAGGAAGAGTAAGAAAAGTATGTATTTCCAATTTTAGCTGTAAACTTTTGGGGTTTAAGTATCTGGGAGTTTAATCCTGAAGAACTATTAATTTCTAGGAACATAAATGTTTTCTTAGAAAACTTTTATTCTCAGAAATTCCTGATATTCTGCAAATTTTTAACTTGCTTTTTTTCACATTTCATAAACCATAGATTTGCTTAGCCAATGCTCCCCTTCAGTTTAACTTCCTGTGCTTAAAGTATCTAAAGTAAATACAAACATGCGCGACCAAACCACTTTGTGTAGGAATTTTTAATTTCATCTGACTTCACTGAAGCCTTGATGCAGTCCATCAAAAGCTGCGTGTATCAAGATACTGATGTCAGCCATTAAGTTCCTCATCTGTGTTCCAGAAGTTTTCTTTTTGAAGGGAACTGAATCATTTTCCATACTTTTGTAATGATGTGTCCAGATGAACTACTCTTTGGTCAGTTTATAGCCCTTAATGTTAATTTCAATTTAGTTATTGCAAGAGTTATTTACCTGTTACTGTGTTTCCTTAAGAGTCATTCTTCTAAATGTTTTGTCCCTTTTAAAATTTTGATATCTGGGACATTACCAATTGTCAGACAGTGAAATACAGATTTATTTCCTATGTGTTACTTGGTCACATCCATCCTTCTGCCCTTGGAAATGGGTAAGTAGATCCAAGTGTTGCCTTTTTCACTGAATTATATCAGTGCCAACAGAACATCTCGGAATAGTAGGGCTCAGGGCTATAAGCCATCTGAGGGAAAATTGTGTTTTAAACTGATTAGAACATACAAGTTATTTTCAGAAATGTTTATAAAAATGAAATTGCTGTCTTTTTATTTCAAAAATTAAATACCAGGAGATCCCTTCTCTGTCAGAGGAAAAAAAAACCTGACATTTTCCCTCTATTCCCTTTACATACATCGAAACTTTGAGACTCATTTTTGTCAGCTGTAGGATAAACATTCCCCAAATCCTTACTTCTGAGGAGTGTTCATTCTTTTGCTGAGTAAATACCTTGCTTGATTCCACTCTTTATAAACACTGTGAAAGAATATGTATTCCTTCTGAAGCGCCTGGCTGTAAATCACCTATAATGGAAGCCCTCATCTGAGCTTTTATTGCGAGGATAAACACTCCAATAGTTCTCTTCTAAAGTGTTTACCTGGCTTTTTCACAGCTGACTCAGTGGATCAGAGCCTTTTAATGTAGTCTGCCTGGCATGTTGTCACTAATCTCTGCAAAGCTTTTCTAATTCTCATATGATTAATAGTATAGTATGCTATTCATTGAGGAAAAAGTAAAACATTTTTTCTGTCTTGCTGCCTAATTTAGATGTTAAATTGCTAAATCCATTTACTTTCCAGGTTTAGTCTCAAAGGCAAATAATGCCAGTATTGAACTGTAAGCAATTGATGGACAGGGAAAATACCACTTAACTCCCTCTCCTTGCCTTTATCTGAGAACCAAAACAAAATCTTTTCATTTGCAGAGATTCAACAATGTCATTAAACTGTTGAAAAATAATTCCCTTTCAGAATGCTCTTGTCATATTGCTGAGACCAAAGACCAGTTCAAGTTGTTTGGAGGTTTTGTTGGCTTTTTGAAAGTAATGCAGCGTATTCTAACACACACGATCAACTTCCACTTACTTGAGCTGGTGGCTAATTGGAATCACCTACATAAGGTAAAAACACACAGATAAATAAAACATGCATGTAAAGTTGGCCCCCAAAACATGACATGAATGCATACTAGCGAAGAAGAAACAAAAAGAGGTAGTGAATGTGATGGTGGCTGGTGCTAGAGTCATGATCCTTGTCTGGTGCTCATCACCAATACCTGCCTTGCCATCAAGCAAGGCCAGAGAGCTCAGTTTTGTTCCTCAAAACTACTGGACTGTTCCTGGGTCTGTGCTGACACATGTGAAGCTAGTTTTGACGTTTTCTGTAATCACAGTCAGCTTGCTTTGTGATCCATATGATTAGTTCACAGGTGAGAGAGCTGAGTAGACCAGAAGTGAGAAACATGGTTTGACTGCATTTTTTGTGGTTACCCCAAGTTTTTATCTCAGTTTCTTTCATAATTCTATCGTTATTCTGTGTCTTCCCTAGCCATTTCTTCTGCCCATAGCCCAGAATTGGTAGTTCCCTGTTGCTCTTGTTCTATTTGGTTGGCTGGATTGTCTTGCTAAGATTTAGTGAGAACACTATTCTGCTCCAGCACAAGGATCCACATGCCCAGAAGAGTCATTCAAGAGATGTTTGATGCTCCCTGTCTGTTACATCTTTGCGAAAGGAAAAATGAGTATAAGGAAGCATATTTGATAGATAGTTATGGGCAAATTTAAGTAGCTCTTAACACTTGTATCAGATTCTCATGAGCAAATGATAGCATAGACCTGTCTGCCGTCCTGCTAAAATCGCTTACTGTCAAATGTAAAGTATCTTCTTGTACAGTATCAGCATGTTTAGAACTACTGCTGTTTTGTAAACTGATGATAGTGATTTACTTTGTATTATTCAATTTAAAAAGAAATAGAGTTAAGCGCAGGATTAGAAATACAGCAGAGCCCTCCTATGAAATATGTATTTTCAAATCTCTCACTTGTTGTTATTGATGGTGATTCAATTCCACCATGAATAGTATTTCTAGTTTATATGCAGGACTGTTTTGGTTGAGAGCATGGTGAGTGCCAGGTTCTGCAGGCTTTACTTTGGCTAGACTCATAACTTTGAACTGAGCTTTGTTCCTGCAGTCTTAGCACCCTGCCTTGTTGAATTCAGCCCTAGGATGCTCACTGGTCCAGTGGGAGCAGAGTTGAGATGCTTCAGCTCATTTCTGTGAGCTCCTGCTGCTAAGTCAGCAGGTTGCTGTGGAAGATACAGTCTTAGGAGACTATTTGTATCTCCTTTGCCTGTAAATGTTTCTTCGGTGTTTACCTCAAAACACTCTTAACAAAATACGGTTAGTTTTTAGATGGCAAAGGGTTAATAGTGTCAGCACAGGGCTTAAGCAGTTAAACAGACACAGATCAAAATACTTCAGTGTGTCTGGAGGGATGTGTTTAAATGAACACTGCAAGGTCAGCAGGCCTCCAAATTAGCAGAGTTTAAAGAATTCAAGGTACATTTTAATTGGATCCTTCTAACCCCCTTTTCCCTCAGAATGAGCATTTTAACAGTTTAATTCCTTTTTCAACCCGCACACATCCCTTACTCCAGTGGCCCATCTAAAATAAATACTGTGAACTTTAAAAGGCCTAGACAAGTTCTAGCTGAAGTCAGTGGCAACAGGATGGACTCCTAAATGCCTCACTCATTTGAATCTGATGTTTGAAATGGCAGAGGGTATTGGCTGGGGCTAAACCTTGCACCCAGCAGGTTAAACCTCTGCATGTCTATAAGGAGCTGCAGTTGGCGTTGGCATCCTGAGGAACCAGCAGTTTAAACCCGTGGCTCTGGCCAGGATTACAGAAGGGAGCTGGCAGCAGCACGGCTGCCAGTGTTGAAGTCACAGGCCCTCCAGACTTGGGTGCAAGGAGTATCTCAGGCATCAGGCCAGGGGAAAGGGTGCAGTGCTGGTCTGCAGAGGAAGGGGAGTGTGAGTGAGGACCAAGGACCAGGACACAGTTATCATCATGCTGCTGCATGAAGTGAGATGAATCCTCTTTCACAGCAGCAGCACAGCAGGCAACACCTACCAGCAAAATAACTTACATAAATCAGACAGACCTATTTACTCTGCAAATAGGTTTAAGCTTTTAATCTTTCTTACTTACAGAAACAGTAAGTAAAGATATGAAGTGGCTTTTCCTTCTGCTTTTCAATAGCATAACAGTATCCTCCTTTGCTGTCACAACTTTCTGTTTCGGGGACATTTACGAAGTATTTGGGTAGTGACTGTTGTGTTGTTGCCAGCCATATTAAATGTACTATAACCTACTTGAATGATTAGTTCTTAAGCAAGATGACTAATTAGCTGTTCTGTGATTCCACCTTTACTATCTTTAATGGCCCTTGTTCATTGTTTGCCACCTGACATTGATTAGAACCTATTTGGGGCAGAGGAACATCATGAAATACTGCTTGAGAAAAATCCAGACAGTAGCTCGACTTGACTTAACCTCGCCTTTCCAGCAAGCAGGTCAAACCAGAACTTCAGAATTATAGTTTCCAAGAATCCAAATGGGAAACTAAACACCAGTAAAACATCAGCCCTCATGCTGCACTTCCCAGGACTCGGAGGGGCAGCTGCATTCGTACAGTTGTGAATGAAGCTCACTGGAGTTCACAGGATCTTTGGTACATGGAGCTACCCAGTTCCTCAAAAGCAAAGGTTTAATACCACCGTGTGTTACTAAAAGCAGTCTTCAAAACTAGTCAGCTCACATGTCAAAAATAGACTTGTTGATGTATCGATTAGCCTAATGTCAGAGATTATTAAAGTTGAGCTCTCCAAGTACTATAAAATGTCATTATTAATTATTCTTGTATGGAAACAATTTCAAAAACTCTTTTATTCTTTACACAGATAGAGTTGTATCTTCCAGCTGTTGTGCTAGTTCAGACTACTTCTTCAAGCACCTCGCTGAAGAAGGCAAGAAGACTCAAAGAGGTAGAGAGATTTCACAGGATGGACAGAGATGGCTTCATTTCATGCAGCAGAACCCAGAAGTTCTACAGCAGGTGAATTAGTAGTCTTTTCTATGGGATGTTATTACATTTCTGAATTTTCCTGATGTTTTCTGGTACTGAACACCAGGGCAGCATTGGCTATTAGTAAGAGAACAAACCTCACTATGCTGGTATGCAGCCCTGAGCGGCTTCCACTGTGTTCTCATGACAACCAAAGATTGAAAGTATTTTTTGTCATAGTGGAAAGCATCAGCACTATACTTGGCTGTACAGTATCTTAAAACTTGGTGCTTCATTTTTGCTCATAAGAACAGGTGTGTGAGATCATCAATACATCTCTACAGGCAAATGGGAAGGAAAGCTCTCTCAAGTATTTTAGGAGAAAAGATCAAATTCTGGCACTGAACCACACATTTTGGTGATGAAATGTGTAAATGAATGGCTGTATGCTATCATGTTTGAATAGTTTATTTTCAGTAGGTGACTCAGTGGGATTTTTTCTGTTAAAGGTAAAATACAATAGAAATTCAATCTCCTTCTGAAAAGGAAGTGGCGGATGTACTGTTTAGGAGAGATTTTGCCTTCCCAGCTCCATAAGGTCTATCACAGCCCAGGTACATTATCGGGAGATCACATTGTTCATGGCTGCATGTCTCCATATTCACTCTGTGCCACATTTCCTTAAAATCTCATTAAACTATCTGACAGTGCATACTTACAGGAATCTCTGGATTCCTAATGCAGTTGCAAAGATGCTGTTTCAGAAGATGCATTTCACAGGTCTGGAGGCTTTTAACAAAACCAGAAGTTATTAACAAGACGCAAATGACAAAAATGTGTTTCCCTAATAGATACACTTTCCAAACAACAATAGGTTGTTTGGAAAAAGCCTGGCATGCAGTCACCACTCGTTGTCATTTATCTACTGTTCTAATTGAAGGTGAAAAGTAACTAATGGTAGCTAATATGTTCCTGGCAGTATATAGCATATTGTGGGATTAGTGATGTTTATTATAGACACTATTATCAGGTTACAATAATTCTCTTGTTCTATTGCAGGTTCTTATGTTTTACTTGTGTATAGGGGTTTTGTGGAAACTAGCAGTGAAGTCAGCGTTCGGGTACGTCAGATTGCGCAGTGTTGTACCATGCATGCAGTGACTGGAACAGAAAGGACAGGACAGCAACATGGCCTCTGAACTGCCCTGCCTTTGTGGCAATCTCAGTGCAATACTTTGTCTGTTAATATGCAGTAATCTTTCACTTCACAGCGAATGACTGGGTGGTGATCTGTCTTTATTAACTTCAGATTCAGAGGAATACGTTACATTTATGTTGAATGCAGGCTTTCACGTACTCTTTTAAATATTAATGGCTGGTCTCCAGTAGTCAGCATAAATATGATTTGCATTAGCACTAGTCATATCATATTGAGTGCCTCTGATGTCAACTACTCAGTGTACTAATATCTGACATCATCTACCGAGGTCACTGACAACTTTGACCTTTATTCTCATGCACAGTTTCTGTAGTCTCAGAAGCTCTTTTGAATTGATTTGAAATTTTGACTCTTCCCTTTGTGAGGCAGTAAAATTGATAATTATTCAGATGGGAACTGAGCACTGAGTGAAAAATCAATTCTGCCCGCTCTCTGCTGCGTATAAAATTACTTCTGAGTCTGCCGGACTGAACGGATGGCCAAGGTAAAAGCAGCAGGCAGGAACAGTAGAGAGGATTAGCTGGACGAAACTAATAGCCTAAAGGGATGGCTTTTGAGATGAGGGAGTGGGCCGGTTGGGGGTTATTATCAGCAATGATGGGACTCATTGATCATATGTTTACATCAGGTTTCCATTGGGTTATAAATCAGTCCTGAATAGAAACGGAACCCAAGGCCTCACACTTTACCAGGGGGACAGCATATTTGATTATTCTCACTTTCACACTCAGATGAAAAGTGAAACATTGATTATTCATCGGCTGGCCATTAAACACGGGTTTTATAGATGATTTGACTATCAGGGAAGCTAATGAACAAGGTTGCTGCTTCATAACCAGCAGTTTCAGTTTTCAAGACATCTGTGTCGGTTAAGTAATGCATAACCCTATTAAAAGGAATGGGTTACAAATTGCTTAACAGTGCTGAAAAACTAGACCCTAATGACTAATTGTGCTTTGAGTTTAGAGAGGTTTGTCAGCTCTTTAAACTAAACTGATGCAACGATAACTGCAATTATTCACTAGTTAGAACAGTTCTTCCAAGTTGGGTCTCTGGAAGTCGCTGGATAATTAAACTTCCCAGCAGTGCACGGGGTCCTGACCCTCCACCCGCAGCAGCTAGGCATGCCCTCAGAATACACAGGAACCTCCCAGGGCTACTTCCCACAGCTCCGTGCCCGGCTCCATTGGGCAGTGGGACCTAGGGAGTGGGGCAGGACCGTAGCAGGAGGTGCATGGGGCCCGGTGCAGCTCCCAGGGTAGAGCCACCTTCCCACTCCTGGCTCACCTCTCTGGGATGTGGGGACATCACGTCAACCTGTGCATCCGCACGCCGGCGTCCGAAACAGCACAGTGTGCTCACAGATGAGGCTTTTCAGCATCTCCATGCAGTCCAGTACCTGAGGCTTCTGCCTTCTTCAGCCTCTGCAGGAGCAGAGTTGTGCAATTAAACCCTATTAACCGTTCTTCAGTTTGCTTAGATACACCCTATAGAGCTCTGTTTTGCCATTAGGTTGATGTGACTGTGCAGGGACAGGAGCAATAGAAAACACGGGCGTGATACAGAGTAAGCTGTGGCATCCTTTCGTGGCATAGCAGTGGCTGTTGTCAGCTTTGGCCAGGCTTTTTGCTGAGCAAGCGGCTTAGTTTGAGCTCAACCTGAAAACAACGGCTCCATGATGGCATCTTACAACCAAACTGAATTAACAGTACAAAGTAATTTGGGATATATGGATAGAAAGCAGTATAAAGTTTATTACATTCAACTATTGCTGTTACATTATGTTGTTTTATAAGCACGATAAAGGCTCTTTTTCTATGCTATGATGCCAGGATTGACAGGTGAAGCTGGCGTTTTATCCAGTTTATATATGAAAATGTAAATTTTCGTTTTAAGATGCCACCTTTATCTTCTGTTAATGCTTATCTTGCTGACTTGTACACTTTAGTTAGTTGAACTTGTTCAGTTTTGATACAGCAAAGTACTATTCATGTTATTTCTTTCCAAAAGTCAGTCCGTTTTGTAGCGTCTTTCATCCGCAGTTCTGACAAATGTTCACAAGAGCCAGGTAAAGGTAAAGAGCCCTGCGTGACCATTATTGAAATAATTCTGTACTGGATGTGGAAGGGGATTGATGGTTGGTTGAATAGAGACAGAATCTCCATGACATTTCAGGTTCAATTCCTTTCCTGGACAGTTCTCAAGAGTATTAGGTACTGGGGTAACGAGAGAGGGAAGGTGTTGCATGGTGGTTACATTCTGTGCACTGTTTCCAGGAGGATCATGTGGGTAAGAATAAGGAGGGAGTTTGGTGAGTTTGAACATTATACTGATGTCTGGATTAGATCCACACAGTGCCTGCGCTGAGACAAAGGGTGTAGCCGAAGCATGGACCTGCTCCAGGCCAGTGGGTCCCTTCCAAGGGTCCAGCATTTCTGGAGGCGATGAGTGGGGAGTTCTGCAGTAGAAGGAAACTGGCAGGGATGTGGGAACTTGCAGCTTGGTGAGGTGCTGGCACAGGGTGCCCAGAGAAGCTGTGGCTGCCCCATCCCTGGCAGTGTTCAAGGCCAGCTTGGACACAGGGGCTTGGAGCAACCTGCTCTAGTGGAAGGTGTCCCTGCCCGTGGCAGGGGTTGGAACTGGATGAGCTTTAAGGTCCCTTCTGACACAAACCACTCTGGGATTCTATGAGGAGCTGGCATTTATTGTTGAAGGTGGGGTACATGGGCTGGAGAGGGAACTCTGGGGAAGGAGTGTAGATGGGAAGGTATCTGCATAAGCAAAGAGCTCAGAGGGCGTGCGTGATGGTGAGCATGGTAGTGCTGGAAAAGGGAGCAAGGCTGGGGTGGGCAGACCACCAGGAACAGGAGGATGTGCTTTAACAGTGACAGGTGAGACATCACCAGGCTCCTTGTTGGAGCTGAGCACTTGTGACCTGGAATATCACTACATAACAAAGATGCACGAAATGAAGCAGCCCAGCAGCACTGCACAGCAACTGTAAAACAGAAAGTAAAGGTGCCAGCTACAATGAAAAATCAAGTGGCATCACTAAAATAAAAATGTGTTATAAATTGCAACTTTCCTCCTTTTCCCCCTTTTATGTAGTAAAATCAGTGGTTTGTTTTTCAGATAAACCTCAGTGGCATATACAGCTAGTGTGGAGGTCTGCACAGTAATTGAAATAAAAACCTGAAGAGATGTGTTTATGGTGTGTGCTTCATGGCCCATGCAGAGGCACTTGCATATAAGCACATCACAGAAAGAAATCTGAATTGTACTGACAGAGGGCAGTTGTGACAGAGGCTCAGCACCTTGAGCCACGTGTGTGAGCATATGCTGAATATTAAGAGCAGATAAACCACACAGGTGTGATTGTGCCTATGCTTAAGATGAAAAGTGTTTAAAGGCTGAGCTGAATTGGGACCAGAGTACTTGGCTTTTGCCAGCTTGAGTCTTGGAAGGTTGGATACAGCAGTGAAAGGGATTTTCACTGGGACATCTGTTTGCAGCCTCTTAGCACAATTTAAAAATGTTATCCAATACTATCATAACTTTCTTCGTTAATTGAAAGGAATGGAGCTATACCAGCTGTAGCCCAAGCCAGCAGAGACTTGGGTGGCTAAGCAACAGAAAAGGCACCATATTGAGTGAGCCAAAATTCAGTCTCTAAGTCATTTATTTTAACCAGTGACAATACGTTTGGACTCTAGTGTTTCGATTTGATTGATGGTTTAATATCATATATAATTTTTTTAATGAAGGGAACCCATTTAAATATGTTAACATTTGCACTAGTAGTCTCCCATGTACATAACTGCATTTAATCATT